TAAATATTTAACTACACTTGTTCTGTTTAGCGAATCGCAGGCGCAGCCATCGGCGACACAAGAAGAATGATGTAATTTAATAATAGTACTTTTATCAGGTGCAGAAGCCGCTGTTTTGTGGAAACAAATATAGTTGGTTTTTTTCACATTAAGGGTCAAAAGATTATGTTGGAGCCAGACACTAACTCGAGACATACCTATTTGAGAATTTCGTAAAGCTTCTTGCCACGTCAAACCATCGAATAAAATTGCAGTATCATCTGCATAGCATATGACATCTGCATTACCTAATGGTATGTCATGTATGTCATTTATATAGATGGTAAATAGCGTAGGACCCATGATACTACCCTGCGGGACCCCACAGCTAATGAACTGAGGGCTGCTCATGACTTGACCAATCCGGACACATTGCATCCGGTCTGAAAGGTAGCTCTTGAACCAGTCATGCGCAGTGCCTCTTATGCCAATATTAAATAGTTTTTGTAGAAGGATAGGAACAGACACGGTATCAAAAGCCTTGGCCAAATCTAAAAAGACAGCCACGCAGCATTTTTTGTCATCAAGTTTTGAAGAGACGGTGGAAGTTAGAAGAGAAACTGCGTCTTCGGTGCTTCTACCCTTTTGAAAACCAAATTGTCTTGTTGCTATAACATTTTGGGAATTGAGATAATTAGCCAAACGATTGTTAACTAGCTTTTCAAGCAATTTAGAGAAAGCACTTAACAAAGAAATCGGCCTGTAATTTTCAATCTGTGTTTTGGGACCACTTTTATAAACAGGGATTACAGTAGCTTGTTTCCAAAGACAGGGGAATGTCCCACTAGTCATACTTAAATTAAATATATATGTTAATGGCATCAAAATGGCGCCTTTGACGTGTTTTATTAAAAGGTTTGACCAGCCATCAATACCAGTGGCTTTGCCATTTTGGAGGGACATGATTAATGTGTTCACTTCATCGCAATCTGTAGGAAACATGTAAAATGAGTTGGGTGGTGTAGTTTTAGCTTGGACTTTTTTGGCAAGATCCGTTTCTGTTAGGTTGATATCTGATAAAATCTTGTTTGTAAGACGTTGACCGATGGATGAGAAGTAGTCATTATGTGTATCAAGGGGCGTACTGCTATTTTCAGTATATTCTTCTAACAGTTCTGTAGGTACGTGCTTTTTTTCAATGAAGCCACACATCGTTTTAATGGAACGCCAAAGCTTCTTTGGGTTGTTTTTGTTATTGTTAATTTCATTCCTATCGTGTTGTAATCTTACTTTACGCAAGAGACTTACGAGAAAGTTGTGGTACCTTTTATACGAGATATGCAGTATATCATTATTTGGATCTTGTTTTGCACGATGATGAAGACGGTCACGATGCCTCATACAGCGCATGAGTCCGGGGGTAATCCAGGGTTTAAGGTTGTATTGTGATCTACTTAAACGGACTTCACATGTGTGCCTTTCTAAAGTAGTGACCAATATATCGGAGAACACATTCGCAGCTTCATTAATATTCTTGTTAGTAGTGACATCACTCCAGTCCTTCTCTAAAAGTTCTTTCTTTATACTCGCGAAGTCTCTTTTAAGTATTGTCCGGACTGGTCGACCTAGGTTCACTTTATTAATACTAATGCCAGCCATAACAGGGAAATGATCAGTTATGTCAGATTGGCAAACTACACCTACTGGGGTCAGATTGTGGTGTACGTCAGTGATAAATACGTGATCCAGACACGACGTCCCTCTGGTAGGCTTTGTGATGGCCGGTACAAATCCATGCTCTGCAAGGAAGCATTGGTATTCAATTGTTCTAGGATTGGATGAATCCAATATATTAATGTTTAGGTCACCAGCCAGGATCAAAGTTACTCCATCGACATTTTGAATAGAACTTTCAATGGAAGACAGAAAATTATCGATGTTGTTACATGACGGTGAACGGTAGATGGCGAATAAAGTAGCTACATTCTCGATATTAACCGCTAAACAATTTGCATCGTCGATGTTGGGCTCCGAAGTTGTCGAGTTCCATACATCACTTACGTAGACCACGACTCCGCTATTCTGATTTAAATTACGTTCCGTTTTAAACAAATTATAGCCTGGTATTTGTGGGATAATCGTGGTATCATTCAGCCAACATTCAGTCAAAATGAGTACATCGAGAGTTACATTCAAACGTGTTAGTGCTACGAGGAATGTGTCAAAGTTTTTTTGTATGCTTCGTATGTTAAGGGTAAGGATTTTGAAATTGTGGTTTGATGTAAAACATTGTTTACATAACTCAATTTGATTAACAACGCGGCAGTCAACTGTTAACGAGTCTAGGTCATTTACCAAATCGTCTATATTTTGATTGAATTTATAAACAGGTTTATCCATAAATATGTATACCATGACACATACTTTAGATTTAGGGGACTACTGTGTAATTTATTAAAGAACTTTTTTACATCGTGGTTATAAGCAAGATATAAGTTTGTGTGACAATAAGTATCAGGAAGTATAATAATACATATAGATGTCATTTCTTTAAGCAAAATACAAATACTTGTGACAAATTTTGATTGCAGTGATATTGTTAATTTATTGTTGGTAATTTTTGTACAAAAATATAAGATAGTTATGCGATTTACATTATAAAATAAAAGGTAACGTAACATTTTAGTTTGGAGCGAAGCAGCCCACTGACATTTACAGCTAGCAATTAAGGATGCTATAAGTTGAAAACAATCCACTTTATAACGTAATTTACATTTAAAATTTGATACAACTTTAGAGATTTTACCTTTAAAATAAACATATACGAAGAAAATAAAATTGCGTTTACACCACATTAGAGCAGGATGTACTTTTTTAAGACTGTTTGTTTGCACTGTGATTCTTTGGATATACAATAACGAAGAAAAATCAAATAAATAATATTTTATGACCTTAACAGGATACGACGGGATGTACAAGACAAATAAAATACTTTTACTTCGCTGTCGCAGCCAAAGGTGGGAAGATTCGGTCCAGGTCCTTGAGAGAACGAATGCGCACAGCAGGCTTTTTTTCCTTTTCTCTAACATAAATTGCACCATTGTTACACCAACAAAATGTATAGCCTCCATTTTTGGACCTAATCCTAGCGTCACGAAATAACTGGCGATTTTCCTTAGTGAGCCTTTCGTTGAGATATATTTTACGTGCTGCTCCGGGTATCTGTAGGTCGGATGTATTCAGATTTCGACGCGACCTCGACGACTGTACCAGTGCATCTCTTTTAGAACGCCGCAGCAGACGCACTACTACGGGACGTGACATCCCATGAGCTTCGTTGGGCCCCTCGGAGGCTGGCGCTGGGTGACGGGGTCCTACGCGCGTGATATAGTCAACGTCGTCTTCCTTGAGCTCCACACCGAGTTTTTGCGCTACGATCTGTACGGAGTGCTGTAAAGTTACATTCTGAGTCTCAGGAATTCCGATAATTTCGATTTCGTTTTTCATGTCGTTCTGCCTTTGTGTATGCAATTCGTCCTCTAAGCGTATAACTGTGGCTTTGAGAATGTTCAACTCGTTGTCCCGCTGTTCTAATACTTTCAACCTTTTGTCTGTGTTTTTAAGTGAGGCGACAATTTCATCCAGACGGGAATGACAGAAACACATAGACTTGGTCACATCTTCTAGTTGACATTTAAGTGACGAAATTTCCTTGGTCAGATTGCGCAGTTCGTTAGTAAACCCTGCTAACTCGGAGCCGGTGTTTGATTGTACGCTGCAATCGGGGCATTTCCAAGTCTTTTTCTTCTCTGCCGAACTAGCCAATGGAACACACAGGGTGCAAAAGCATTTGTCACAAGTTAAAGAAGTACATCTTGTAACATTAGTTTCTTTGGTAGTTTTTGAACACCCTGCGCACTTCATGTTATTTTAAACGTTGAACACTTATACTACACAAAAGATATCGTAAGCAATAAATCTTTTGTATTAATGCAAATGAGACCGCAACTATTTCACAGTGAGTCACGGCAGGGCGCCGAGTGCACGCGAAACGCACGGTTATGCACTGGACGGAAGTGCGAGTATTGCTTGCGCGCGAACTTTCTCAATGCACCCGCGCCGATCGGTAATTTATTCAAGTTATCTTAAGTGTTTATTTTACGTAATTTAGAATTTGTTTACGAATTCACTATCGCACACATGTTACGCGAACCATAACTGAC